GCAGTCATATAGGACCATTGTCCTAATAACTTACGATAGACTCTGGAGCTTGGTAAGTGAAAAGGAGCTAGGAATGTATAATTAAATCCCTTGGATCAGTATTCATTATAGGAAGGAATGAGAAGATGTTTGAATTGATTCTTTTATATTTTCTGTTCCTAGAAGTAGAATGCATTTTTAGTAATATTTTGATTTTGCTTATTTTATTCCTCTTCTTATTCACTCTTTTGAAATAAATGGAGTGTGCCCGATGTGACATTCACTCAGAAAGTACCTTGCTTTCCTTTCAGAGAAAGTGAATTTTACAAATTAATTTTGTTCCCCTACAATTGATTTTCTTCTATACCATTAAAAGACCGTTTCTATTCTTCTTTCTTGGGTATTACATTTTTACTTAATATACAAATTAATTATATTAATCATTGTGTTTGAGCAGTGTTGTTAGGCTAAAAGGGACTTTGGGCTTGGGGTAACTCTTCCTGGGTCTGGATTAACATCCAGAACTCCAGGAGTTCCCACTGCTCTGAGCTAGTGCCTCCATTTCCAACCAACTAATGACTTCTGAACTAATCCTAGGTGTTTTTTGTTTGTTATTGTTTGTTTGTTTTTCTGCCACTGTGGACTAAGAGCATAAATGCTGCCTTAGTAAGAGAGGTTAAAGAAGCAATAGGTTTCATCTTTCCTTAGCCTGACTGGCCTTTGGTGAGTTTGGGTGTGTTGACAGAATAAATACTGAGCCATCTTGGCAGACAAGGAAGGTCAGAAAGAGAGAAGTCCATGGGCAGGGGGCCAAGTCCCTCCTTGCCTCGTTAGGGAGAATTCAGCGTTGTCTGTCTGGTTGGCAGGGTATACCTAATCACAGAGACACAGCATTTCAGCAGTTTGCAAAGGAAAGTGATACGAAGGGACAGCTGCAAGTCAGCCACAGCTTAGATCTGAGGAGATCAAGCATTCACTTCAGTTAGAAGAAAGAGAGAAGGAAGGAAGCCTAGGGCTTAGCAGGGTAAGTTCCTTTCCCTTCAAATCATCTGCTTGCTTAGTTTATAGTTGAGTAAAACATTTATCACCCCAAGGAGTGTTAGCACTGATTAAGCATCTGAATGTGCTTAATAATAGTGTTCCTAATGGATTCCTCCTTTTCGCTTTCTCTTTCCTAACTCCTTTTGAGGATCCCCAATGACTAGCATCACTCTCCCCTTTCCCTGCCTCCCCAAAGATGTTTTGTGTTTGCTGGTGAATTAGAGAAAATTACATAGGTCTTCCTGGTCTGGAGATAGCGAGAAGATACTGTGGTAGGTGAAACTTGAGGCTTTTGGTGGTGAGGGAGAAGGATGGGAGACCTGGTCTGGGAATAGGCTAATATTTAGGGAATTTGGAGATGAAGGATAATAGTTTTTCTAGACCGTCAAGTTCATGTCTCCTTTTTAGTCCTTGGTGTTGGTGTTTTCTCTTTTATATACGGAGAATAAATTAGAGCCCAAGCCACTGGGGGCAGCTGGAAAAAAGGTGATTCCTTGCTAGGTGACATAGACTCTGATCTCTAGAAAATTCTGAAAGCTCATTATATGTAATTCTTTCCAACTTCTCCCTTGTCCTCTATGTTTTTTGCCTTTGTTTCTCTCAGTCCCCTCAAACTTGGAGGATCCTGGGACTCTGTGCAGAAAAGTTAGAGCCAAGGAAGCTGGGTCTGGGCCTGGGGTACACAAACTCAGACATGAGCTTCACGTAGATGCAAATGCAAGGACCTGGCTTCTCATTCCCACCTTCTTACCTTCCTGCCAGAAATTTAGTTAGTTTGTGTCATGAACCCATTCTAGACATAGAGGAAACTCTCAGGGATTTCATCGCCCCACTCCTCCTCAAACTGTGATTCCTTCCTTCACTTCCCAGTGAGTTCAGTCAACTTCTAGAGAGCCAAGAGTTAGTCTTCCTTTCAAGAAGGACCTCTTTGGAAAGGCAGATAAGTGAGGCAATACATTTCTTGTCTTAATTGGCTTCCATTGCAGAAGGCTTTTAGTTGAACATCAGGAATATATATTTATTAATCCTGGGATTTAAGACCCTTGACTTATATCAGAACAAAGATAATTTTTCTCCATACCTGTAAAGAAAAGAAGAATCCATTCTTTCAAGGTTCAAGAAGGTGTTTTCTTGCCTGAGGAGGCTGGGTAGGTAGAGCAGATGAATGCTTCTAAAGTTGCAATGATTCTGGAAATGTGATGAGAATGTGTGGTGATTAAAAGTGGAGGGAAGATTCAGGTCACTTGTTGGAAATGGGGTACTCAGGTGTGAAGGCATCCTTTAGTAAAGGGACCCTTAAATCTTAAAATAATCTACCACCTTCAGGTCTAATTTCTTCTGTATTAGTGAGAATGTAGAATGCAGATGAGCTTAGCTATCTCTGTTCTTTGGACTCTGAAAACATCCATTTATCTGTGGTATGAGGGGAGAGATTACACAAGTGAAATGAAAGGAGGGGAAAGAAAGTACAAAAGAAAATACAAATTAGTTCCCTCATTAACTGAGGACAGCAGTTTGCAAAAAGCCATGTCATAAGATAATAGCTTTTCTTTTTTTTAAGTTTCAATTTTAATTCTAGTTAGTTACAATGTTATGTTAGTTTCAGGTGTACAGATAATAGATTTTAGTGGATGATTCTGGGAGGTTTTTGTTTGTTCTGCCACCTACACTTCATCTGAATGATGATTCTAGAGTTTTTTTCCTAACAAATCTGGTCCAGAAGGAGTAAATGTCAGACTATTTTTGTAACAAAACATGATCCATGATTTGAACTTTAAAAGTTACCTTATTCATAGTAAAACCAACCACTGTCAGCCTTTTTATCCTCTGCCATTTCCCTGTCCCTGGAGGCAGTTAATTGGAAAGTTAGTATTTAGATTCTCAATCTCTACAGGTACCTTTCTTTTTTATTTTTTAATTGAGATGAAATTCACAAGATAAATTAATCCTTTTAAAGTGAGCAATTAAATGGCATGTCCTACATTCACATGGTTGTGCAACCACCACCTCTATCTGGTTCCAAAGCATTTTCATCATCCCAAAAGAAAACCCCATAACCAGGGGTGCCTGGTGGCTCAGTTGGGTAAGTGTCTGACTCTTGATTTTGGCTCAGGTCGTGATCTTACAGCTCCATGGGTTTGAACCCCAAGTTGGGCTCTGCACTGACAGAGCCTGCTTGGGATTGTCTCTCTCCCTCTCTCTGTCCCTCCCCTACTTGAGTGCATGCTCTCTTATGCTCTCTTATGCTCTCTCTTTTTCAAAATAAATAAACTTAAAAAAAAAAAGTAAACCCCATAACCATTTAGCAATTACTCCCCATTCCTCTTCCACCCAGTCCCTGGCAACCAGGAGTTGATTTCTGTCTGTGGGTTTACCTTTCCTCGATATTTCATATAAATGAAATCCTATAACGTGACCTTTTGACTTCTTTCAGTTAGCATAATGCTTTTGAGGTTCATCCACATTGTAGCATATTATCAGTACTTCATTTCTTTTTATGGTGTCGTATCTAAGAAATTGCCAAATCCATATTATGACCTTTTCCCTTTGTGTTCTTCTAAGACTTTATAGTTTTAGTTTTTAATGTTTATGTTGTTATACTTATAGTCAAACTCAAATCATTCTATTTCATTAATTTCTAGAGTGTTCCCATCTACATTTCTATGCTCATGCTCTTCTCTGTGCTAAGAATTCCTTTTTTTATCTCATGTATTCAAAGAATTACCATCGGTCTATTTTGACTGCTACCTGCTTTATAAAGTCTTCCTACAGCTAACCAACTAAAGAGACTCTTCTGATTTCCCACTAGTGCTTTAGTTTCACTTACAGTATTTATATACTGCCTTATGATTTACATTTGATCCCTCTACAGGACATCTAGATGTTGAGTATATTTTTCATATTTGTTTCCATTATTTTATGAGTGATTATATATGTTTAGCAATAAATATTTGTTGAGTGAATGCATGTTTTTATTTTTCCCAATATAGTTCCTTTTGTTTACTCAACAATTGTAGAAGGAATGGGAGAAGACAAGCCAAGAAAGGAGAATATCACAGAGTTCCTGCTAGGTAGTAGGTGGGTGCAGGATCAGTTCTACTTCAAAACTCGCCTCTTTAGGAAAGTTTCTTCATAATTTTTTATAACTTGCTTTGACTATATAACTCTTAGCATTGTGATGCTGATTTTGTGTTGCGTTTAATTTCTTCCTCTGGGTCTATTGCTTACAATTGTGATGATAGGTTTTCTAAAATGAATGTTTTATTTCCCCAACTAAGTGAAATTGACTAATTCTCCAATTAGCTGGTAGTTTTGGACAACCAAAACTGTTGTTTGCTTTTTTCTGTCTTTTGATTTTTTTTTCTCTCTTTTTGAAATCAAGAGTCAGACACTTACCCAACTGAGCCACCAGGCACCTCTGGTTATGAGGTTTTCTTTTGGGATGATGAAAATGTTTTGGAACTAGATAGAGGTGGTGGTTGCACAACCATGTGAATGTAGGACATGCCATATTATTGCTCACTTTAAAAGGATTTTTGATTTTTTAAAAGGATTATACGAATAATATATAAATATATTCTAACTATTCAAGAGTCAAATATCACAGATAGGTCTAAAGTTCCTTTTGATTAACCCAGTTCCTGTCCCATTACTTCTTTCCGTCCTCAGTGTTAATCACTGTTACTGGTTTTACATGAGACCTGCCAGACCTTTTCCTGTGCATTTCCTTACATATGTATTTAAATTTTATATAGAACTTAATATGTAACACATATATGTATAATTATGTTCATATATAATTATTTCCCTGCTGTTTTTTTATAATCGCCTATGGTGATCAATAATCAGTAGATACCAAATAAGTCTTACGGATACCTAGGTCTGAGAGACTAGAATGAGAAGTGAAAGGTCAAACATATGAAAACACATCATATGTGACCAACTTGCAAAGTTTCATTCCATATCTGTTCTGTGTATAGTCCCCAGGTATCAGTGGACAGCCATGGCTCCAAGATCTCGGAAGCGAAGGCACAAGAAACCCCCTTCATCAGTGGCTCCCATGGTTGTGACCCCATCCACAGTTATGACCCCTGTGCCTCTGACCCTCTCAAAACCTGACCCTAGCATTGATGCGCTTGGCTTCTTCTCCTTGGAAAATAATGTTCCTGGCCTATCTCAGCTAATCCTTCAAAAGCTAAGCATGAAAAGCTATGAAGAATACAAGTGAGTGACTCGCTCTATGGAAGAATAATATCTCTAGTAGAACTGATTTTAGAAGGCAAAGAGGGAATATAGCTTGGAGAATATGGGGCATTTACAATGAGGGAGTCTCTCATCCTGACTTCTGTAAGTTTTATTACTATAGAAGAAATATAATTTGCTTATGTGAGAAATAGTGGGAGTAGATGGAAATATATTGGAGGCAAGGTATAGGTCATGAAAGATTTTGGAGATAACTCTTTTTCCTATTGCCACTTATTCACCGTGCCATTTCTGCAGGTTGGTGCTAGATGGGGGTGCTTCTGTATCAGGCTTTGGATTTCGATGCCCTCAAGAAATGTTCCAGAAGATGGAGGACACATTTTGATTCTGTGCTCACTGTAGAGCTCTCCCTAGTGGTCTTTCAGACTCCAAGGTCTTACGGCAGTGCAAAAGGTGACTAGTTGGGGGCTAAATGGGGAGTCATCCAGAAATGATCCTATTCTAAGACTTCCTTGCAGGAGGAAAGGTCTAAGAGTTTTCAAAGTAACTTAAGGCCCACTCATTTTGTGTGATCCAGGCCACAGAAAGATTAGAAAAGGATTGGGCTCCTTCTTATTTTGGGTATTATGGTATTATGGGGAGGTCAGACAGATTATGGTACAATAGTCCCCCCCCCACCTGCAGTTTGCTTTCTGTGGTTTCACTTATCCATGGTCAACCACGGTCTGGGAGCAGATGATCCTCCTCTGACTATTGTCAAAAAGTCATTAGTAGTGTAATGCTGTGTTGCAGTGCTTATGTCATTCATCTCACTTCATCTCATCATGTAGGCATTTTATCATCTCACATTATCACAAGAAGAAGGGTGAGTACAATACAGTAAGATCTTTTGAGAGAGAGACCACTTTCGTATAACATTATAGTATATTATAATTGTCTTATTGTTAATCTCTTACTGTGCCTAATTTATAAATTTTATCATAGATACATATGTATGTATGTATGTATGTATAGGAGGAAACAGTATATACAGGGTTTAGGTCATCCGTGAGTTCGGTATCCATTGGGGATCTTGGAACATATTCCCTTTGGATAAGGGGGGACGACTGTATAATCTTCTTTACCTCCCTCCTCTTGAGTACGCAAGGTATAAGATCATTATCTCTTCTGGGGAGTTGAGCCATACCTGTGATAATAGGGCAGCTGCAAACTCCTGTTACTTATTTTTTCTGTAAGTGATGTAAAAAGTGAGTTGTTCCAGATATAGACTGAGGTGTCACTCTAACCCAAGAGAATAATTACATTCCTAGTCTCTCATGCCTCCCCTCCCAAATATAATCTCCAAATTTAGTGCATCAGTTGTCACTCCTCTCCTTACCTTCCTTATCCAGTGATCTTTCTTCCTAGGTGCAGGTATATCAGTTCCCTTCCCCCTTCCCCTGACATACCTTTGAGGTATAGGAACATCTGTTTCTGGGGCTCATTCTTTCAGGTGCAGAAATGTCTATTACTGTGGTCCAGAGTGCCAGAGGTCAGACTGGCCAGCACATAGGAAGGTTTGTCAAGACCTGCGTTTTGTAGCTGTGGACCGTCTCATGGAATGGCTCCTAGTCACAGGTGAAGTGATAGTGTTGGAGAACTCTGACATAGTGGTCATAATTGGTTGTACTTGGAGAGGGAGATGACAGCATGTTGTTAGAAGGAAAAAATGAGAAACTGAGTGGGGCACTCCTGGTCACAAGTTGGGAGAGTACACTTGGAAAGAATATTGAAGCCAGGAAAGGATTATGTCATTCTTATTTCTTCTTTCCTACAGGTGCTTTTGTCCTACCTTCAGGGCCTTGGCCATGCCTGGCTGAAGCTGTACAGGGCTGGGATACCTGGTTTTCTATGTGGCATTTACAGCTAGATGCTACACTGGATGCTGTGCTAGGTAGTCATGCCATAACCACCCTGTGGGCCAGCGTAGGACGGCCAAGGCCAGACCCAGATGTCTTGCAGGGCTCTTTGAAGCGGCTGCTGACAGATGCCCTCTCACGACCCTTGACACTGGGCCTTGGGCTTCGGGTCTTGGGGATAAATGTTGGGAAGATTGGGGGAAGCACAGTGCATGTGGTTGGTGCTTCCCACGTGGAGACATTCCTCACTCGCCCTGAGGACTATGATGAGCTTGGCTACATGTTTCCTGGACACCTTGGCCTCCGTGTGATCATGGTGGGTATAGACGTATCTGCTGGCTTTACACAGAACCCCTCAACTCCCATCCTGGAACCTGGCACAGTTCAGCTTAGTGGCCATAGAGGCCTCTATCATGACTTCTGGGAGGAGGAGGTAGAGACTGGGCGGATAGCCCATCCAGATTTGGTGGTGACATTCCATCCAGGTAAGAATCATTTAGGGGAATACTGGGTGGCTTTTCTGGGAATTTTCTATCCTGACTCTTGTATCTTCTATATTTGGAATCCCATTCATTTGGTCAGGTTAAACACAATATGATGACAACTTTGGTTGATCATTAGCCATTTGTGCTATGCCCGGGTTCAGAATTTTCCACTGAAGAACGTGGGGTAGATGATTATGGTAAATGAGCATTGGAGGTGAGCAAGGTGAGGAGAAAGGTGAACACAATTAAAAAAAAAAAAAAAAATCTTGCTTAGGCCCTACTTCAGCCTTTCCCCTCTCTATATCCATTTCTATTTTTGTTGTTTTTTCCATAGGTTTCCATGCTTCCCCAGACTTAATGGAGGCTTGGCTGCCCACCCTCTTGCTACTTCGTGATTATGAGATCCCTACCCTACATTGATCACTGTTTACAGGTTTCAACTTCCTCCTATTTTTGATATATCCCTGACTCACTCAACACCTCTCTTTAAATTTTTAATGTTTATTATTCATTTTTGACAGAGAGAGACAGAGCGCGAGAGGGGGGGAGGGGCAGAGAGAGAGGGAGACACAGAGTCCGAAGCAGGCTCCAGGCTCTGAGCTCTGAGCTGTCAGCACAGAGCCCGATGTGGGGCTTGAATTCACGAACCGTGAGATCATGACCTGAGCGAAAGTCAGATGCTTGACCGACTGAGCCACCCAGGCACCCCTCAACACCTCTCTTTATATAGATGAGCTCATTTCTCTCCCCTTTGCTCATCTTCTATCTTCTGGTGAGGATTTTCTTCCTTTCCACACTTGGCTTTCTAATCCCCTTAGAACCAAGTCCTATGCTAGTTAATCAGGTGATTAGTGAGACATTTGGTAGGAAGGGATATCCCCTCGCCTAAACCAGCCTTAGGTAATTTTGGGGATTAATGAGTACAGAAGCATCAAGTTCTGAGAAATTTCTCTCCTATGTTTCTCAAAATTAGCACAGCATTTTATTATTATTTTTTTTTATCTGTCTCCCATAGCCATCAGGAATTGGCAGCCTCATTACAGATTCTGGTGGACTTGGATACAAACATCACCGCCTATGGAGCTAACCCTTTTGCATCCCTCAAACCTGAACAGGTCTATTCCAACCCCAACAAGCAGCCAGTATACTGCAATGCCTATTATATCATCTTTCTTGGAAGTTCCTGCCAGTTGGATAGGAGGCAACTGGAAGAAAAAGTAGATGGTGGAGTTTAAATAGCTGACCCAGATCCTGACTGGATTTCTAGAAAATGGGGAGGTTGTAATGAAATTACTCTGCTGATGTCAGGTTGTTGCCGACTTTGAAATCCACTATGTCCTAAACCTCATTCACTTGTCCAGGTAAAGATTCTCAGCTGAATGGGAGTTCTGTGTGATGTGACTCATTTCTAAGAGGTTAGCCATAAATAGCTTCTAGAGACAGGATTCTAGATTTAATACATGGCAAGAGGCCCTGGTATGTCTTTCCAGCCTAGAATTCCTAATAGTTCCCTTTGTGAGAAAGTTTTACCTTGAATCAGATGGTGTAAAGGAGAAGAATGACACCTTATTCTTTTGGAAAAGACTTTCTTGTTACCCAGAAATCTTGGCTAAAAAATGGAGAGGTGTTAACGACTTGAAGTGGTACACGAATGGGCAAGTCAGAGAAGCGGTTGGGAACGTGGGAGAAGTTGTGAGGATTGGTATGTTGTTCGATTTCCTGGCTTTTTCTAGATAAATATCTTATTTTCTTCTTTTCTATTGGGCTCTTCTCACCCTAGAGTAGCTTTTTGCTTGGTGTTATATTTAAATATCCCAGGGTATCTCAGGCTTTAGTTGAATGTACTGGAGTTATTTGTTATTACCTAGTCTATACCATAATAAACTCAGTTTGGGGCTTCTTGTTGTATCCTTTTTCCTATTCACTGGCAAGTATTACTTGTCTACTCACAATACCTGAAGACTTGAGGTTTGTCTTTTGCCAAAAGAGTTGTTAACACCAGCTCTCTGGGCCTGCTATCTGCCACTTCCCATCTCATGCCATCCTTCTCTTATCACATTCTCAAGATGAGGATTTTCCTTAAATAGTCATTCCTATGACCTTGCCATGACCTCAGCCTCCCACCCCCAGCCCTAACACATGCATATACATTCTTATTGCCCACTCTGCGAGGGGTAATATTAGAATTCACATATTCATTCAAAGTATGAAGTTAGTACCTACCGTGTGAAAGGTACTGCATTACAGCTTTGGAGAGTTACAAAGGTGAATGAGAGATGGACCTTATTTTTAACCTAGGAAGGGAAGTAATACATATACATAGATAATCTCTATTATAAGATGCGATACGGAATAAGAACCATGAGAGAGGCCTGTACTCCTAAGGTAATAGAGTGAAAAGAGAGATCACTAAGTGAATAGTGAAGCTCTTGTGAAGTAGAATTTTATTAAACAAATGGAGGGCAGGTCATTTCAGATGGAAGGAATAAGAGTTAAGCAGAAAAGAATAGGAGATATTTTAGGGTACATTGGGGGATTAGTATAAATTTAGTCTGGAAGGTATATTGAGACCAGATTATAGAAGGAGCATTGCTTACTGGTCAGTTTTAGATTTACATAGATCTGAGTATGAATCCTGGAGCAACTACCAAATATGTTTGTGTCTGTGGGAAAGCTAAACTTCTCTAAGTTTCCTTAATTTCCTCATCTGTAAAATTGGGATGATGCCTAGTATTAAGTTACATTAAGAGTTAAATGAAAATGTTTACAAAATTGGAAGACTCACACATTCCAATTGCAAAATTCTACAAAGCAGTAGTAATCAAGACAGTGTAGTACTGGCCTAGGATAGATATATGGATCAATGAAATAGAATTGAGAAGCAAGAAATTCTTAACATTTATGATCAATTGATTTTTGACAAGAGTGACAAAATAATCCAATGGGAAAAGAACAGACTTTTTAACAGACAGTGCTGGAACAACTGGATTCCACATGCAGAAGAATGAAGTTGGACGCCCCCTCCACACACACACAACATAAAAAAATTAACTCAAATTGTATCGAAGATGTAAATCACTAAAACTGTACAATTCTTAGAAAAAAACATAGGGGTAAATCTTAATGAAGTTGGATTGGGCAATGGTTTCTTAAATATGGCACCAAACATATAACCGACCAAAATAAAAATAGATAAATTGGACTTTATTAAAATTAAAAACTAGTGAAAAAGGCACCATCAAAAAAGTGTAAAGAATGGGAGAAAATATTCATAAATCATATATCTGATAATGGACTAATATCCAGAATATATATAAAGAAATGTTACAACTCAATAAAAGAACAAATAACCCAATTAAAAAATGGGCAGGGGCACCTAGGTGGCTCAGTGGGTTAAGTGTCTGACTTTGGCTCAGGTCATGATCTCACGGTTCATGAGTTTGAGCCCTGCTTTGGGCTCTCTGCTATCAGCGTGGAGCCTGCTTTGGGTCCTCAGTCTCCCTCTCTTTCTGCCCCTCCCCTGCCTTTCTCTCTCTCTCTCTCTCTCTGTCTCTCTCTCTCTCTCTCTCTCTCCCTCCCTCTCTCCCCCCCCTCCCTCAAAAATTAAAAAAAAAAATGGACAAAAAAATGGACAAATGATCCAAATAAATATTTCTCCAAAGAATATATACAAATGATCTGTAAACACATGAAAATATGCTTAACATCTTTAGTTATCAGGAAATACAAGTCAAAACCATAATGAAATGGCACTTCATCCACTAGAATGGCAGTAATAAAAAAGAAAAATAACAAGTATTGTGATGTAGAGAAATTGTAACCCTTATACACTTATGTGGGGATACAAAATGGTGCAGCTATTTTGGAAAACAGTCTGGCAGTAACTCCCCAAGAAGTTAAATTTTGAGTTACCATTTGATCCTGTAATTCTGCTCCTTGGTATGTACCCATGAGAAATGAAACCATGTATACAAACTGCCATAGCAGCATTATTCATAATAGCCATAGCAAAAGATAAAAATCCAAATGTCCATCAATTTATGAATGGGTAAATAAAATGTGTGTCCATGTAATGAAATGTTTGGGCTTAGAAAGGAATGAAGTACTTATTCATGCTACAATGTAGATGAACCTTGAAAACATGTTCATTGATGTTCACGTTAAGTGAAAGTCACAAAGACCATATGGTATATGAGTGCATTTATAAGAAATGTCTAGAGTAGTCAAATCTATGAAGACAAAGTAGATTAGTGGCAGCATAAAGATGAGCAGGATGAGGGTATCGGGGTAATGGCTAAAAGGTATGGATTTTATTTTGCGGGTGATATAAATGTTCTAAAATTGTGGTGATGGTACAGCTCTGCGAATATATTAGAAACCATTGAATTGGACACTTTACATGAGCGAATTATATCTTCATAAAGCTGTTACCAAAAGCATTTTTTTAATCTTAGAGAATATAAAAAATTTGTTAAGTGCTTAACACAATGCCCTAGCACATGGTTCATACTTAATAAATGGTAGCCATTGTTGAATCCGTACCACTTTAATTTTACACAGTAACAAACAGATTGAGTTAGCAATACTGTATGAGTACTGATTTGACAAGGAAAAACCAGTTGGATACATCATGAGAGGAGATAATGCAGGTGCCAGCTGAGGTGATAGTAGGCATGGAAAGGAAGAGGTAATTTCTAACAAGTAAATAGTGACATTTTATAGATAAAGCATGAAAGTAAAATCTATAGGGTTTGGTTACTGATGGTGATGGATGAAGTGTGTTATATCTATCAGAATCACCTCAGGAGACAGAAACCACACAGTAATAAATGAGACAAAAATTTCCAACTTACTAGCTGGTGGTGATAGTGCATAAAAGTCTAAATGCCTAGCTTCATACTAAATGCTGAGAAATCTAAAATGGCTTCTGCCCTTAGAGTGTTTACAGTTTAATAGAAGACTGACATAAGCAAGAGCAATATAATAGAGCTGTATTTTCTAACTCAGCAAATGAAATGAAAAAAAAATTGCATTTTTAAAAATGTATTTACTTTGAGAAAGTGAGCAAGCAAGTGTGCATGCTAGCAGGGGAGGGACAGAGAGCAAGGGAGAGAGAGAGAGAGAATTCTAAGCAGACTCCATACTGGTCAGAGTGAGCCTGGCACGGTGCTTGATTGCATGAAGGGTGAGATCATGACCTGAGCTGAAATCAAGAGTTGGACGCTCAACCAACTGAGCCTCCCAGGAGCCTCCCAAATTTGCATTTTTAAAACTGTATTGAAAATCCCTTAGAATAGCACTACATTGGATTCTGCCACATCCTCATCTCAGCAGGTCTATCAGAGCCATTTTTTCCTCTAGTATTGGACATTAATCTCTGCTTATTTGATCACCAGATCAAATGTTGGCTTGGGTTTGGAGAGCCCTGTTGTAGTCAAATATTTATTGAACATTTATTACTAGACTCTAGAGATATTCCTATTCTCAATGAGCTTACATTCTAGTAGGGAGGGCAAATGATAGACATACAAAATTTCAGATTCTTTTAAGTGATACAAAGAAAATATAACAGTGTGTAACTGATGGTGGTGTTGGTGGCAATGGTGACTACTAATGCCACAATGTTCAGGGAATACCCACCTCTCTGAGGAGATGGATGACATTTGAGATGATGCAGTGGAGAACATTCCTAGTAGAAGCAGTAAGTGTGAAGATCGTAAGAATCTCTGATGTGTTTGTGCACAAACCTGGTATGTTTTCCTGGACATAAGGCCACTTTGACCAGAGTTTAATGATTGAGAAAGAAGTTGAAGATGGATGAGATCAGAGAGGTAGGCAGGGGCCAGACTATATAGGGCGTTTCGGACCATGGCCAAGAGTTTGGGTTTTATAATCAAGGGAATGACATGACCCAATTTATTCTTTAGAAAAAACATTTTAGTTCAAGAGTTTCTTAATCTCAGCACTATTGACTTTTGGGATGGAATAATCCTTTGTTGAAGGGGGCTGCCTAGTGCATTGTAGAATGTTTAGTAGTATCCCTGATCTCTACCCATTAGATATTGGTAACATCTTGCCTCCTCCGGTTGTGACAATCAAAAACGTCTCCAGACATTGCCAAATGTCTCCTGGGAGACAAAAATTACTGCTTTAACTGTACAAAAAATTTATTTAAATATTAGACTCTACAGAGTGGAATGTTCACATTAGGGGAAGCATACTGGCCCCTATTTCACATGAACTCTGGTCCCTATAATGACCTTCAGAGTTGTTTCGTTGTTGCTAATTTTTTTTTAAGATTATATTTTTTAGGTAATCTCTACACCCAACAGGTTTTGAACTTAAACCCCAAGATCAAGAGTCACTTGCTCTTCCAACTGAGCCAGATAGGGGCACTTGTTTTTGTTAAGTTTATGTGGTTGAATACAAGTAAATTACATGCTCATGCTATGACTCCGCTGTTCAATATACCACAGTGGACATCTAGATAAGGTCTATTTGGGCACAAAAAAAAGGGAGTAATTGCTTACCTAAGGGAAAGTAAGGAAAAGGATGAGGTCAGGAAGTTTCTTGAAGCAGGAAGGAGGCATGCGATCTTTGAATTGAATCTTAATAGATTAATAATTGTTAAAAGGCAGGTAGTACTTTCTAGGCAGAGGAAGTATGAGGAAGAGCTCTTTGATCCTAGAGGTACTGTGTGTCAGGAAGGAAGGACAAGTTGAAAGGATGAAGTGAGAAATGTGGTAGGGTCTGAACAGGCTATTGGATATTTGGGCTTATAGCTCAGGAAAATGGGCTGGAAGTAGATTTGAAAAATATCCTCTTAGGGTGATAGTTAAGGCAGAAGGAGAGGTGGGGATGAAATCATCATGGGAATAGTGTGGGACAAAGAAGAGTAC